ACTTTCAGGTCTCCTCACACTGCTGGTGTGTTCCATTTCTTGTCATAGGGTGCTGGCAGGATTACGGGCCTCCTATAGCTGCTGCCAGGCCCCTAATCTGCCATGGGCCCCTATACCGCCTCCCTCATGCTGCTGCCAAGACCAGAGTCTCTCATGGGTCCCTGTACGGCCTCCCCATCTCCCATTGCTGCTGTCTCCATCGCCCACACTCTGCCATGTGCCACTTTCAGGTCTCCTCACACTGCTGGGTGTGTTCCATTTTTTGTCATAGGGTGCTGGCAGATTACGGGCCTCCTATAGCTGCTGCCAGGCCCCTAATCTGCCATAAGCCCCTATAACCGCCTCCTCATGCTGCTGCCAAGACCAGAGTCTCTCATGGGTCCCCTGTACGGCCTCCCATTGCTGCTGTCTCCATCGCCACACACTCTGCCATGTGCCACTTTCAGGTCTCCTCACACTGCTGGTGCGTTCCATTTTTTGTCATAGGGTTGCTGGCAGATTACGGGCCTCCCATAGCTGCTGCCAGGCCCCTAATCTGCCATGGGCCCCTTTACCGCCTCCTCATGCTGCTGCCAGGTCCACAGTGTCTCATGCCATGTGCCACTTTCAGGTCTCCTCACACTGCTGGTGTGTTCCATTTTTTTGTCATAGGGTGCTGGCAGATTACGGGCCTCCTATAGCTGCTGCCAGGCCCTAATCTGCCATGGGCCCCTATACCGCCTCCTCATGCTGCTGCCAAGACCAGAGTCTCTCATGGGTCCCTGTACGGCCTCCCATTCCCATTGCTGCTGTCTCCATCGCCACACTCTGCCATGTGCCACTTTCAGGTCTCCTCACACACTGCTGGTGTGTTACATTTTTTTGTCAAGGGGGGCTGGCAGATTACGGGCCTCCCATAGCTGCTGCCAGGCCCCTAATCTGCCATGGGCCCCTGTACCGCCTCCTCATGCTGCTGCCAGGTTCACCACAGTGTCTCATGCCATGTGCCACTTTCAGGTCATCCTCACACTGCTGGTGTGTTCCATTTTTTGTCATAGGGTGCTGGCAGACTTACGGGCCTCCTATAGCTGCTGCCAGGGGCCCCTAATCTGCCATGGGCCCCTATACCGCCTCCATTCATGCTGCTGCCAAGACCAGAGTCTCTCATGGGTCCCTGTACGGTCCTCCTCCCCCTCCCATTGCTGCTGTCTCCATCGCCACACTCTGCCAGGTGCCACTTTCAGGTCTCCTCCACTGCTGGTGTGTTCCATTTTTTGTCATAGGGTGCTGGCAGATTAACGGGCACTCCATATAGCTGCTGCCAGGCCCCTAATCTGCCATGGGCCCCCTATTACGCCTCCTCATGCTGCTGCCAAGACCAGAGTTCTCATGTGTCCCTGTACGGCCTCCCATTGCTGCTGTCTCCATCGCCCACACTCTGCCATGTGCCACTTTCAGGTCTCCTCACACACACTGGCTGGTGTGTTCCATTTTTTGTCATAGGGTGCTGGCAGATTACGGGCCTCCTATAGCTGCTGCCAATGGCCCCTAATCTTGCCATGGGCCCAATTTAATACCGCCTCCTCATGCTGCTGCCAAGACCAGAGTCTCTCATGGGTCCCTGTACGGCCTTCCCATTGCTGCTGTCTCCATCGCCACACTCTGCATGTGCCACTTTCAGGTCTCCTCACACTGCTGGTGTGTTCCTTTTTTGTCATAGGGTGCTGGCAGATTACGGGCCTCCCATAGCTGCTGCCAGGCCCTAATCTGCCATGGGCCCCCTTATACCGCCTCCTCATGCTGCTGCCAGGTCCACAGTGTCTCATGCCATGTGCCACTTTCAGGTCTCCTCACACTGCTGGTGTGTTCCATTTTTTGTCATAGGGTGCTGGCAGATTACGGGCCTCCATTAGCTGCTGCCGAGGCCCCTAATCTGCCATGGCCCCTTATACCGCCTCCTCATGCTGCTGCCCAGGTCCAGAGTCTCTCATGGGTCCCTGTACGGCCTCCCATTGCTGCTGTCTCCTATCGCCACACTCTGCATATGTGCCACTTTCAGGTCTCCTCACACATGCTGGTGTGGTCCATTATTTGTCATAGGGTGCTGGCAGATTACGGGCCTCCTATAGCTGCTGCCAGGCCCCTAAATCTGCCATAAGCCGCCTATACCGCCTCCCTCATGCTGCTGCCAAGACCAGAGTCTCTCATGGGTCCCTGTACGGCCTCCCATTGCTGCTGTCTCCATCGCCACACTCTGCCATGTGCCACTTTCAGGTCTCCTCACACTGCTGGTGCGTTCCATTTTTTGTCATAGGGTGCTGGCAGATTACGGGCCTCCCATAGCTGCTCTGCCAGGCCCCTAATCTGCCATGGGCCCCTTTACCGCCTCCTCATGCTGCTGCCAGGTCCACAGTGTCTCATGCCATGTGCCACTTTCAGGTCTCCTCAACACTGCTGGTGTGTTCCATTTTTTGTCATAGGGTGCTGCAGATTACGGGCCTCCTATAGCTGCTGCCAGGCCCCTAATCTGCCATAAGCCCCTATACCGCCTCCTCATGCTGCTGCCAAGACCAGAGTCTCAATTCATGGGTCCCTGTAACGGCCTCCCATTGCTGCTGTCTCCATCGCCACACTCTGCCATGTGCCACTTTCAGGTCTCCTCACACTGCTGGTGCGTTCCATTTTTTGTCATAGGGTGCTGGCAGATTACGGCCTCCCATAGCTGCTGCCAGGCCCCCTAATCTGCCATGGGCCCCTTTAACCGCCTCCTCATGCTGCTGCCAGGTTCCACAGTGTCTCATGCCATGTGCCACTTTCAGGTCCTCCTCACACTGCTGGTGTGTTCCATTTTTTGTCATAGGGTGCTGGCAGATTTACGCGGCCTCCTATAGCTGCCTGCCAGGCCCCTAATCTGCCATGGGCCCCTATTATACCGCCTCCTCATGCTGCTAGGCCAAGAAGACCAGAGTCTCTCATGGGTCCCTGTAACGGCCTCCCATTGCTGCTGTCTCCATCGCCACAACTCTGCCATGTGCCCACTTTCAGTCTCCTCACACACTGCTGGTGTGTTACATTTTTTGTCATAGGTGCTGGCAGATTACGGGCCTCCCATAGCTGCTGCCAGGCCCCTAATCTGCCATGGGCCCCTGTACCGCCTCCTCATGCTGCTGCCAGGTCCACAGTGTCTCATGCCATGTACGGCCACTTTCAGGTCTCCTCCTCACACTGCTGTGTGGCCCACTTCAGTTCCACTGCTTTTTTGTCATAGGGTGCTGGCAGATTACGGGCCTCCTATAGCTGCTCTGCCAGGCCCCTAATCTGCCATGGGCCCCTATACCGCCTCCTCATCCGCTGCTGCCAAGACCAGCAGGTCTCTCATGGGTCCCTGTACGGCCTCCCATTGCTGCTGTCTCCATACGCCACACTCTGCATGTGCCACTTTCAGGTCTCACTCACACTGCTGGTGTGTTCCATTTTTTCATAGGGTGCTGGCAGATTAACGGGCCTCCAATAAAGCTGCTGCCCAGGCCCCTTAATCTGCCATGGGCCCCTATACGCCTCCTCATGCTGCTGCCAAGACCAGAGTCATTCTCTCATGTGTCCCCTGTACGGCCTCCCATTGCTGGCTGTAACCTCCATCGCCACAACGCCACACTGCCATGTCGCCACTTTCAGGGTCTCCTCACACACTGCTGGTGTGTTCCCATTTTTTTTGTCATAGGGTGATGGCAGATTACGGGCCTCCCTATAGAAGGCTGCTGCCAGGCCCCTAATCTGCCATGGGGCCCCTATACCGCCTCCTCATGCTCGCTTGCTGCCAAGACCATGCAGACCTCTCATGGGTCCCTGTACGGACCCTCCCATTGCTGCTGGTCTCACATCGCCGTACACTCTGCCATGTAGCCACTTTCAGGTCTCCATCACACTGCTGGTGTGTTCCATTTTTTGTCATAGGGGTGCTGGCAGATTAGGAGCAGGGCCTCCCATAGCTGCTGCCCAGGCCCCTAATCCTGCGCATGGGCCCCTACTAACCGCCGCCTCATGCTGCTGCCTGGAGGGCGCTGTCCCACAGTGTAGTCCATGGCCATGTGCCAACTTTCAGGTCTCCTCACACTGCTGAAACTTTGTGTTGGCCCCCATTTTTTGTCATAGGGTCATGCTGGCAGATTACGGGCATCCCATAGCGCTGCTGCCAGGCCCCTAATCTGCCATGGGCCCCCTATACCGCCTCCTCATGCTGCTGCCAGGTCCAGAGTCTCTCATGGGTGTCCATGTAACGGCCTCCCATTGCTGCTGTCTCCATCCGCCCAACAACTCTGCCATGTGCCACTTCAGGTCTCCTCACACTGCTGGTGTGTTCCATTTTTTTGTCATAGGGGTTGCTGGCAGATTACGGGCCTCCCATCAAGCTGCTGCCAGGCCCCTAATCTGCCATGGGCCCCTGTACCGCCTCCTCATGCTGCTGCCACGTCCACAGTGCTGCTGTCTCATGCCCATGGTGCCACTTTCAGGTCTCCCTCATACTGCTGGTGTGTTCCATTTTTTGTCATAGGGTGCTGGCAGATTACGGGCCTCCTATAGCTGCTGCCAGGCCCCTAATCTGCCATGGGCCCCTTTACCGCCTCCTCATGCTGCTGCCAGGTCCAGACATGGGTCCCCTGTACGTCCTCCCATTGCTGCTGTCTCCATCGCCACACTGTGCCATGTGCCACTTTCAGGTCTCCTCACACTGCTGGTGGTTCCATTATTTGTCATAGGGTGCTGGCAGATTACGGGCCTCCCACAGCTGCTGCCAGGCCCCTAATATGCCATGGGCCCCTGTACCGCCTCCTCATGCTGCTGCAGGTCCACAGTCTCTCATGGGTCCCTGTACGGCCTCCCATTGCTGCTGTCTCCATCGCCACACTCTGCCATGTGCCACTTTCAGGTCTCCTCACACTGCTGGTGGGTTCCATATTTTTCTCATAGGGTGCTGGCAGATTATGGGCCTCCCATAGCTGCTGCCAGGCCCCTAATCTGCCATGGGCCCCTGTACCGCCTCCTCATGCTGCTGCCAGGTCCACAGTCTCTCATGGGTCCCTGTACGGCCTCCCATTGCTGCTGTCTCCATCGCCACACTCTGCCATGTGCCACTTTCAGGTCTCCTCACACACTGCTGGTGTGTTCCATTTTTTGTCATAGGGTGCTGGCAGATTACGGGCCTACTCCCATTGCTGCTGCCAGGGCCCGTAATCTGCCATGGGCCCCCCGTACCGACTCCTCATGCTGCTGACAGGCCCGTAATCTGTCATGGGCCCCTGTTGTCGCTTGTTGGCATATTCCGCTCGTTCAGATGCTCCTTCTCCTGCTACTCCTCTTCACGGATTCCGTCAGCAGTCTTTCTTGGAATCCGTTTCCCAAGAGACAACAGTTTGCGAGCACGCACGCACCCGACGGTGCAGAAGCTGAACGTCCTCCTGTCCAAGTTGCTGCTGCCAGGCTCGTAATCTGTCATGCGCCCCTGTACCGCCTCCTCATGCTGCTGCCAGGTCCAGAGTGTGTCATGGGCCCCTGTACCGACTCCTCATGCTGCCTGCCATGGCCCGTAATCTGTCATAGGCCCCTGTACCGCCTCCTCATGCTGCTGCCAGGTCCAGAGTGTGTCATGGGTCCCTGTACGGCCTCCCATTGCTGCTGCCAGGCCCGTAATCTGCCATAGGCCCCCGTACCAACTCCTCATGCTGCTGCCAGGCCCGTAAGCTGTCATGGGCCCCTGTACCACCTCCTCATGCTGCTGCCAGGTCCAGAGTGTGTCATGGGTCCCTGTACGGCCTCCCATTGCTGCTGTCTCCATCGCCACACTCTGCCATGTGCCACTTTCCCAGGTCTCCTCACACTGCTGGTGGTTTCCTTCCATTTTTGTCATAGGGTGCTGTATGGCCCTCCCATTGCTGCTGTCTCCACCGCCACACTGTGGCTCACACTCTGGTTTTGGCCCCGTGACTGCCCAAATGAGTGAAGTGTGCGGTGATTCTAAGATCGACGGCACTCATCTGCATGTCATACTGACTGTCAGTATTATTTCTCTTCCCCAGCAGACACCAAGGGCATTTAAATTCAAGGTACAGTGTTCTGCACTAATATAAAGGCTCGTCTGAAGCCTAGAAAAACACCCTTTTATAAGTTAAATTCGCAGCGAATATATTCGACTCGAATCAAAATTTTTTCACGAATTCGCCGAATCAGTCGAATCGAATTTTTGAATAATTCGCTCATCTCTAGTCCCGTCAGGTCACAGGCCAGGTTCAGCAGCAGGAGATCAGGGACAATCGGGAACAGGCAGAAGAATTAAGTTCTTTATTAGAAGAATGGTCAAATGAGCCAGAGGTCAGGGCAGGAGAAGGTCAGCAATGGTCAGGATCAAGCAGGATTCGGCAACAACAGGAACTCTCTCAGGAACAGGAACAAGGAACAAGACCATATGGCAATTTGAGCATTGCCAGAGCTGGTTTAAATAGTGCGCCCTGAGTTGTCATTGGTGCCAGGGGCGCGCGTCTGCGTGCGCGAGCGCATGCGCGGCCGCAGTTGTTGCCCGCGGGCTCCTTTGTCCTAGCGCCCGCACGCTAGTCCGCATCGGAATTCTGTGCATGCGCAGACCCGTGCGCCGCGGCTAAACTTGGAATCCCTGACATGGCCAATCTGACGATAGGTCCGGTTCTTATGTAAGTCTCTCATATTCCAAGATATGAGACATAGGGAGAAATAGATTTTGAAAGTGTTTATCTGATTCTGTCACCTACGCTGAGTTAGGTTTATTAGGTTGGAATCTCTTTCAACTCCTGGGAAAGCTTGCCTTATCTCTTACGAGGTGTTACAATTTGCAGGTTCTTTGGACAGGGAGGCCCAGGCTCCTTGGGGGGCTTTATAGCTCCTGTGACCCTCCTGTGACATTCCTAACTCACACACATACTGGCCAAATGTCGCTGGGGCCTCTCTAAGGAGGGAGAGGGGAAGAATGAGGGAGAAATATATTTGTCAGGAGGGTTAATCCCTTTGCCAAGATGGAGGTTGAAGCCAAAATGGTTGAACCGCGTCCATCTCTGGGTATACGCCGTTACAGCCATGCACATGGTAAATGCGGCCAAAACAATGCATCCCAGTCCATTGGCGCTCAACACATGTTCCCACTCTTCGCAAATGGTTTGCAAGGATCAATAAAATTGAGGAAATGGAGGAATTGATTTCTGTAGCTAAAGACCATCCCGAGAGATTCAGGAAGACATGGGCTTGTTGGAGTCATTTCAAAACCACCACTACCTATCACCTATTAGTGCATGAACAACCTACAGCCCCTGACTGAATGTATAGACATCCTTATCAGCTTATGCATGGTCCTTTTTTCACTTATATAGTTGGCATTTATCTCATGCACTATAATATCACTTTATTTGTGTATTCATTTAATTTATTTTATTGTGAATATTTACATGCGTTTATGAGTTTATTTTTACAGGTTTAGGGTTTATTCATAGGTAGCAGCGCCACATCATTTTCTTTTTCATTATTTGATTTATCATCTGGTATATGATTGGGTGTTGGCAGCTTCATTTGATCTTCTTAGTATAGGCTTAGTAGCGCAGGAGGTTTACACTTTTTATTTCACCTACAGCCACCCATTCTATTACCCTCTCTTTTTTTTCTTTTTCATTATTTGATTTATATTCTGGTATATGATTGGGTGTTGGCAGCTTCATTTGATCTTCTTAGTATAGGCTTAGTAGCGCAGGAGGTTTACACTTTTTATTTCACCTACAGCCACCCATTCTATTACCATCTCTACGCCTTACCCATTATCCTCCACCCAATCGCGTTTTTGTTTTTCTCTCTCTTCTTCTCTTCCCCATATTCCCCCCCTACTACTTCACTCTACATTTCCTCCTTTATCTATTCACCTATCCGACTTCTCTTTATCTCACACACCTTTTATACGTTTTCATCAATCATAAATCACCAACAGATCATAGCACTTAATCTTTCATACAGGTGTGCCTACTTTCTCGTGGATCACACGCTCCTAAACTGGGCACACAACTCATAACGAACACATCGTCCTGTACTATTCTTTCCCAACATTTCCCCATCGCCTCAACATAAGGGCATACAAGTAGATAGGTTAGTAATTCATATGCCTATAACAAGTTATCTAATACATTCTATGTATTTGCTGGTCTGCTATATACCTTTGATACAAAGATATACCTAACCTCGATTTGTACTAGAATTTGAACCCATAGCCCGTCTGCGTAACGGGATGCTACATATTGTGTCTATGTTTTCGGACTGTCATCTGTATTTGCATGTACAGTATATTGATCTGCCTTAACTTTCCTAATAAAATTATTTTTGAAACAAAAAAAAAAAAGAAATCCTGCAGTGCCACAAGGTCCCTCTTGCTAAGAGGACAGAACAACTGCACCGCATCAATGGGACGGTGGACGGGGCAATGTACTGTCAAATCTTGGGTGCGAACCTTCTTCCCTTAGCCAGGGCATTGAAAATGGGTCTCAGTGTTACAATACACCGAACATTCGATTTTTAGACCGATCATTTCTTTGTGGGTGGGCAAATATTCAAAATCAGCAGGGGGAGCAAATTTTTATTTCCTTCACTTCATATATATATATATATATATATATATTTATGTACTATATATCCTGTTCCTGCCCGGCCTAAAGACAAATGACGGCAGTACACTTTATGTACGTAGTTATGTGTGGATGTCATATGATGTCCTCCATAGAACATGCCTTGTGCTCGCCCTATGGGCCACACTTTGGCTTGATCTGTCACCTGCGTTTTTCCACCAGACACAGCAGATGACCAATCAGTGTACCAGCTACTGATGGTACCATGTGACCGCTGTTAGCGATCATAGCAGATCACATGACAATAGTACACAATGAATGGCGTTCATTTGTGCCATCCATTGTGTGCTATTGTGCTGATCTATTGGTCACAGTGATCACAAGGTAGTACACAATGGATAGCATTTATTCATGCTGATTGTGCTGATCTCTGTGATTTGCCACAGTGCTCACAAGGTACAGACATGGCAAATCACAACCCATCTCTACCATGTGATTAGTTGGGACCAATTACAGCTAACAACAATAGTAAATACTGAATGAATCCATTTCACTCAGTAAAACTGGTTGCTTATAACAGTGAAATTCACTGGAATAAGCAATCATAGTGTGTAAAAAAATATTGCTCTGGTCACAGTATTGTTTAAGAAGGAAGGGAGAAAGGGAAAAAAGGCACGATTGAGATTTCTTTGTAAAGCCACAAAACACGAACATAGGAGGAGGATGAGAGGTGATTGGGGGGGGGAGAGGTAGGTAGGATATAAAAGGCCTGGTGGATCTAAGAACTCTCCTGGATAAACCTAGGTGGACCAAATAGTATTTTAAAACTAGGAGTTATCTTTCTTTCTGTTTCTTTTTAAAGGGGAATGAAAAGTGTTGTTAGGAAAAAGAGTTTGGGGGTTCTTGGGAATGCACCTTCTTGTATGTCCTCCTTCCTGTGCGATGTCAAGTATTTATTTAATGTTTCCCTGTGTAAGTATTTTTTATATGTAATGTAGTTGAAATTAATAAAAAAAAGTTAAACACAGAAAAAAAAAGAATGTGGCCAGGGCATCAAGATTACAATGATCATTGGTCATTAATAGGTTAGGTACAACGATGAACAACTGACATTTTTACCATTTATGAGAGACATTACTAAAATCTTTAGTCATCTAAAAATTTCCCAGAAAAATAAAAGTGCCAATATTCACAATTATAGTTTCAACAGCAAACCTGAATTAATTTTAGGTGATAATAAGCTCTCATAAGTGCCTCCATGAGATCTTTGTTCCTCAGGCTGTAGATCAGAGGATTCAGCAATAGGTAATGAGGGCAGAAATGACTGAAAACAGTTTGTTTAAACTGACCATATTGCTGGAAGATGGAACCAAGTAAATAAAAATTATGGAGCCATAAAAGATGAAGACCACGGTGAGGTGTGAGGTGCAGGTGGAGAATGCTTTCCTCTTTCCAGTCTTGATTCTAAAAATACTTCTAAAAAATATAGACATATGGAAGAAAGTGTCGCAAAAGTGCGCATCAGAGATGGACGCAGTTCAACCATTTTGGTTTCAACCTCCATCTTGGCGAAGGGACTAACCATTTTGAAATATATTTTCCTGCATCCTCCCCCTTCCCCTCTCTGTTCAGCCAAAGCGACATCTGGTTGTGGGTCACTAGCAGGCTAGAGCAGCAGGGGGCCCAGAGCTACAAAGCCCCCCAAGAGAGACAGAGCCGCTCTGCCCAAGAACCTGTGGAATCTCTCCCCTCGTAACAGTTTTCCCCAGGAATTGAAAGAGATTTTAACCTCATAACACCTAGCAGTGTAGGTGACAGAATTAAATGAACATTCCTCAAGTCAATTTTTCCCCTATGTTTCATATCTTGAAATATGAAAGATGTTGGTTCTAATTCAGAGTTCCGCCCGACGATCCCTCCCTAAACAGAGTATTGGTCAGTTACTCAGAGCCACCCCCCTGCTGGGGGACTTTAAAAAAACAGGCTAGCAGGCCTAAAAAGAGGTTGAAGACATCTCCCATTTGTAACATCAATACCACCTGGGGAGACCCTTTCGCTCTGCAACTTGGATCTCTGCTTACATCAAAGGCTTAAATGGCAAGTAACCTAACCCTTTAGCTTCTCCCTGTTATCTCTTTGCTGTGCTATGGTTCTTTGTGTGTGTATATATATAGATATATCTATCTATCTATCTATCTATCTATCTATCTATCTATATATATATATATATATATATCTTAGTTACATCTTTTTCTGTAAATATTTTATTGCACCTGTTTGACTCTTTTAGTAATAAATCTTTCTTTCTGAAAGTGTTAGACTGTTTCTAAAGCGCTTAATTGCAATTTACGAATTCCTGCCTCTAAAGAGACGCTACTGTGTTTGTTTAATCCTCTGCCCAATCGGCCTGTGGTGACCGTATTGGACAGATGACTTTTCAACCATTATAGTGTATATTTGATAAAGAGAGTTTCCTCTTTCTCTGTACAAAAAAGGGGGGT